GGCCACCACGTCTTCAATCGACTTCTCCATGCCTGGCCACCAGACATAACTTCTCGCCAGCATCTTCATGCGTGTAACTCCCGGGTGTTGATCATGCAACATTTGAAGCACAGATGAATACAGTTTCTTTGGAATCACTACACGAGAACCCCACAGCAAACAACCTTGTTCCACGGACAACTCGTCCTTCTTCCTTAGAAAAATAGCTAGTTCCGGCTCAACAGAGCTCGTCCAGCCGTACATCACAAAATCTCGGACCTTCGAAAGAATCGGATCCTTATCCGTCATTTTACCTATATGCAAGGCAGTAATAGGTGCAATGTCCTTAACACAGAAATTGTTCATCACTTCTGTACACATATCTACATGTGAAACAAAATTAGCATCCAGCTCTATAGGTTCCGCTTCTGCTAAGGGTAGCCTAGACAACGCATCAGCATGAGGGACATTCACTCCCTTCCGGTACCTAACCTCCAAATCATATGCTGATAGAATCAAGGCCCATCTCTGCAGCCTAGCTGCCGCCATACTAGGAACGCCCTTTTTAGAGCCAAAAATAGCCGTCAACGGCTGATGATCAGTCTGTAAAATACAATGTCATCCATATATATACTTATGAAACTTTTTGACTCCAAAGATCAAAGCCAGAGCCTCCCGATGTAACTGAGAATAATTCCGTTCACTGGAACTTAGCGTTTTCGATGCGAAGGCAATTGGCCTTTCCTGACCATCGATGAGATGAGATAGAACTGCAACCACCCCTCTGGGACTCGCATCACACGTCAAAACTATGGGCTTTTTTACATCATAGTGAACTAACAAACTTGAGCCCAACACCCATGATTTACTCTCCTGAAAGGTCTTAGAACACACATCCGACCACACCCATGGATGGTCCTTATGTAATAAGTCATAAAAACAGCTTATTCTAGCAGACAAGTTAGGTATAAATGCATGATAATAATTTATTAGACCAATATAGGCTCTTAACTCTTCCTTAGTACTAGGCTCAGGCGCTTTACGCAGCGCAGTTAACAAACTTTCTTGTGGACGGAGACCATCTCGGGTAATCACATGTCCTAAATACTCTATTGAAGATTGCAAAAACTTACACTTTTGTTGGTTTACTTGACCACCAAACTCATCAAGGCGTTGCAGCACTTGCGCTAGACGGGCGAGCCCCTCTTCCTTAGAGCGAGCCGCTACTAAGACGTCATCTAAGTACGCCACCGTTCCTGGAAGACCTGTTAAAATTTGGTCGATGGCTGACTGAAAAATTGCCGGAGCTGAAGACAAACCATATGGTAGACCCTTATGGGTGGCTAAGGTCAACAGATGTTGCGATTCATCCGCTACCGCCAATTGCTGATACGCATTTGAAAGATCAAGGCAGCTAAAAACTGAGCAACCGCCTAGAGTTGCAAAAATATCTTGAGCCTGTGGAAGCGGATAATGTTCCATTTCAATACACTGATTAAGGGTAATTTTATAATCGGCACAAAGCCTAACACCATTAGGCTTAGGGACAACCACAAGTGGAGTGCTCCACTGTGAATTAGTAACTCTGTACGCAACATCCTCTTGAACCATTCGGTCCAACTCACTCTCAACTTTCTCCCTTAACGCAAAAGGCACTGGTCTCGCCTTGCAGAACTTAGGGACTGTCCCTTCCTTCAAAACAATATGAGCATTAACACCCTTAATTTCGCCCGTTCCAGGCTGAAAAACTGACCTAAATTTACTCTTCAATTTAGCAATATCCACATCAGAACTATTATCCACAGTGGCTTTACATGAAAACACGTTTTGCCAATCTAACCTCAACTGACCTAACCAGTTTCGGCCCAACAGAATCGGTTGACTCTTACTTTCTAAACTAACTACTGTCAAAGGCAAACTCGCCTGCTGATTATCATATTTAACATTGAAATTCACTTGTCCCAGAACAGGTACATCATGACCTGAATAAGTAGTAAGTTTCACATTTGCTGGCCTAAGTTTGAGGTTAGAAAATTTTTCATAAAATATCTCAGAAGGACATATATTCAAGGCACTGCCTGTATCTAGAATCATTTCTAAATATACATCATTAGCCACTAGGCCTACCTTATAGCCGTTGTCTGATCCTGATTTAAGGTTGTACAAACCTATCTCTGCCATTGGAACTTCTAGGCCTAGGCCAACCTCTTCCTCCACTTGATGGACCCCCATCCTAGGTGTCGACTTTTTACCATGGAAACTAGAAGATTTCTTGGCTTTACACACTTTCTTGAGATGACCTACTCTCTGACAACCGTGACACTTGTAACTGGCGAACGCACACGCACTAGGCCAATGACCCGCAGAACCACACCTCCAACAAGAGTTTCTAGAATTTTGATTTCCACTACTCCTATTCACAAAAGTTTTAGGCCTATTTTGACTTTTCACATTGATTTTCGCAATGTCCCCACGAGGTTGCCCAAATAGGCTTGACTGCGATTCGGCCTGTTCCAGCCTGAGCACCAACGCATAAATTTCATCAAAGTCTAATTCCTCCGACAACAATTTTTGCCGGATATTTTCATTAGAAATGCCGGAAATCACCTTGTCCCTCAAAGCGTTTTTCAAAAAGGTACTAAATTTACACGAACTAGCCAAATGTTTTATTGAAACCACAAACTCTGCTATGCTTTCGCCCGGCTTTTGCACACGAGAGTAGAATACATATCGCTCCGCCACAACCAACTTCTTGGGCGCATAATGTAATTTCAACAACTCTGCAAGTTCATCATAGGTCTTGGAATCTACCTCTACCGGTGATAATAAATCGGAAAGTACCGATAAAATCCTGGGACCAATAACTGTAATTAAAACCGACACCTCATTCTCTTTCTTAACATTGTTCGCTTTGAAGAAATGTTTCAGGCGCAACAAATAGGGCACAATGTCCTCCTCACTTGGATTAAATTCCGAAATCCTGCCAACACTAATACTCGCCATTTTTAATCATCTCAACTCTAATAACGCACTAAAACAACTTTTATCGCGTTCATATGAAACTATAATGACTTCTACTACAATAAACAATTGTATGGCAGTAGGCAATGTCCATAGGTAAATAAAAAATTCCAGACAATAATACTGTTTGAGACAACCATCATAAAACTATCATTAACATGATAAAATTATTTCATAATTGCCCTAGTAATAAATAATGGAAGTAAAGGAATAAAAGAGATTAACAATCTAAGTAATAAAACATTTATGTACTTTGACTCGAGTTCTTGGAAGTAGACAAAATGATTATTGTCTGATAAAATAATAGTGGGTTTGGGACTGCCAATGAGTTTTTTATTGCTTCATTACCATAGTAATAAATTACAAGCTGCTATACCCGTTCTTTGCAACGGGAAGAAAATGTGACCTAAAGAGCTATTAAAGTGGTGCTGATGTGTTTTAAAATACAGCAAATCTATGATTTAGTTTGAAAATATAAACCTACTTACTTGAAAAGCGTAAACCTACTTACTTTCAAACCCCTACTTTTCATGTTAATAGATCCATAAGAATATGACAACATACGTTAGCGTAGCATTAGCATCAATTGCTTCATATTGATGCTTCATGAATGACATGTTTTACCACAATTCTTCAATTTTAGTCAAGCCTCTTCACATGGTTTACTATAGGCCTATGAATTAAAAGAAATGAAACTTTGAGCAATACTTTACAAACGTATACAACCTCACTTTAAAACGAAACATAACCCTCCTCAATCTACATAAAGCGTCACAAACATCTTATTCGAGTAAATAAACAAACACCAGTTCATTGTACTGACCAGCTGTTTCATTAACTAAATTAAATTAAATCATTTAAACATTTGAAGCATGCCAGGCGTAGCCCTTTGGAAATCAGCCTGTGGGGCAGAGCCCTTAGGAAATTCGTCCATATCAATACTTTTCGGCAAATCTACACACTCTAAGCTTCATTTTGATGTGCCATATGCCTATATTTTTATTTGCTAAATGACCTTAACCGTTTACATAAAATTTGATTGTATCACTTTAATAATATAATAGATGAATGTTGTAAACAAACATCTGTTAAACCTTTTATGTTTTCCTAAGCAATAACTATCGCGGCAAAATGATTACACAATAACCGATAAACCCCGACATATGTCAATTCTCGTTTTCAGGTAAAACCGACATCCGACTTTAACAACCGACCCATCCTTGGTTTTATATTTTGTGGTATGTTTTTAATATTAATGATGTTTTATAAAAATTTTAATAAATTTGAAATTGCTGAAAATTAAAGCACAAAAAACAGTAAGTAGGGAAAATTGCTTATTTATTTCCCTACATAAATTATGAATATTACAAAATAATATGTGTTTGACTTGAAGTAAAAACATTTTAACAGACGAGGTTTTAAAAATGACCTCCATTTTGAGACCGACACAGTCTAGCACGTTTTAGAAGGGATGATGCAACTCCTCATATGATCATATCTGCTCTTTGTGAATTTTCTCATGCTTCCAATGGGAGGAACTCAGGAACCATGACGTTCGTTTGTATAGGACTATGACATTCCTAGATATGTGGACCACCTTTGTGCTTACTTTTCGCTGTACCGTATTGGTTTGGTATTTTAGTCGTGACAGCTGCCCAGACAGACAGACAGACACCACCTCAATTTTATAATAGCATGGATAGATAGATAGATAGCTAGCTAATAGATGATATATTTTGTAGTTCAGAGTCTTAAATTCCTAGTTTCATCAGTGTTATGTGTGATCTGTTTGCTACATTGCAGCCAGCTTCAGTGTAAACAGTGCAATAAAAAAAAATAATGACACAAAAAATATCAACAGATTCAAAACAAAATCTTCAATTTCAAAAACTTTTAAGTCTTGAAACTTGCCATAGTTTTGATGGTTTGAAGATTTGAGATTCGTTTTGACACACATAAACTGAAAAGTCTTAAGCTTGTACAATAAATGTTTAACTAACAGGAAATACGTTGGGAGCTTTCTGCTGGACTAGGTTGAAGATGACCACCAGCTGCGTGGCAGTGTCTGCAGAAATATCCTCCAAGGCAACTACCTTGGAAATCAGCTCCTCCACGAAGGCATTGCACAGCAAACCTGTAGCATTAAGCAATACAGCTTATCTACTAAAATTTATCTTTACTTCAGTTAACAACAATAATTTAATTTATCAAATTTTATTGCAGATCCACAAAAATCTCAATAATTATTTTATATATTCCAGATTTTCCCACTATTACTTTACAATCATTTATGCCACCACAGATGTATGTTACCACATAATATGAATATGCAAAATAGAAAACTATTTGACATTATTAAAGAAAATAGGATATAATGAAAATACTTTCACCACAGCAAACCTGCAGACTAGATGAATTTCCATTTGCCTGATTAGATTTTTACTCAAATATTTAAACATGTTAGATTCATTCCTTATTAAAATAACATTTAGGATTAATGATTACCTAGGTACTTAGGTTTGCTACTATAGGTCGGCTGCTTAGAAAGCAACCTCCTCTAGCATTCAGGGTGTCTAGTTTATTTCCATTATAAAATTCAAGACTAATTCCAGACTTTTATAGACTAATTCCAGATTTTTCAAGACTAATTCCAGATTTTTCAAGACTAGTTTTTTCCACAATTAGTGGGTGTTGATACCAAAATGTATCGATTCTCGATTCTTGATACCGATACCAAGTTTTATAGCTATTTCTAACCAAATTTTATAAATAATACTACACCAACTCTTTGTCTTTGTCATAAAGTAGTATTATGATAGTGTGGTGTTTTCAAGTAAAGAAATAATGCAGCAATAAAAAAATCTAACTAGCAAATTTGGTTTTTTTTATCATGAAATCTTCTGCGTACCGTACGTTTAGACATCATCATTGACTGCAGCGGTTACAGAAACGTGATCGTCGTCGTCCGCGAAAACGGCCAAATCATGAACATTTCCCGCGGCCGTGTATACATCGTCGTCTCCCGCGGTCACGGAAACTTCATCGTCATGGTCATCTCCCGCGGTCACGGAAACTTCATCGTCATGTCCCGCGGCCACAGAAACGAAATCGTCGTTGTCCGCGATCGCGACAAAATCATGAATATTTCCCACGGCCGAGCAGATATCATCGTCGACTCCCGCGGTCACGGAAAGGTCATCGTCATCTCCTGCGGTCACGGAAACCTCATCGTCATCTCCCGCGGTCAGGAAAACGTCATCGCCTTCGTCCTCGATCGCGGCAAAATCATGAACACTTCCCGCTGCCGTGTAGACATCATCGTCGACTCCCGCGGTCACGGAAACGTCATCGTCATCTCCCGCGGTCACGGAAACGTCATCGTCATCTCCCGCGGTCACGGAAACGTCATCATCATCTCCCGCGGTCACGGAAACGTTATCGTAGACGTCCGCGATCACGGCAAAATTATGAACATTTCCCGCGGCCGTGTAGACATCATCGTTGTCTCCCGCGGTCACGGAAACTTCATCGACATTTCCCGCGGTCACGGAAACGTCATCGTCGTCGTCCGCGATCGCGACAAAATCATGAACATTTCCCGAGGTTGTGAGGACTATCATCATTGGCTATCGCGGTTACGTAAACGGAAGACGGCGATCGCGGCAGAATCATAAAAATTCCCGACTTTGAAATCAAATTTAAGACTAAATCCCGACTTTTCAAGACCATTTTGAAATTCAATACTAATTCCCGACTTTCCCGACTACTAGACACCCTGAGCATTGGTTAGCATTAGCGCGCAGATCCCTTTCTAAGCGGCCGACATATACAGGGAAGGTAAGAAGTGTACATCAACATTTCCATATGCAAAATTATTTTCTTTTCAGTGAAGTAAGTACAGTAGAGAGAGCATAACAAGATAACATTTACCTAGAGCCTTGCAATAAGTGTTGGCAGGTAATACATGCTGCCAAACCGTCTGCAGTAAGGCTAACTGTCTCAGACACATCCTGATAGCCTTCTCTATACCCTCAGGGAACTTAGTGCTGTCACTGAGCGTCACTAGGCCTGCAACAGACACATCAGATTATCCTGGATATATTAAAAAATGTTACTGACTCAAAACAAGTTGATTTATTTTATCAGGCTTTGATTGTGTTTAACTTGGAGGAATTATAAAGACCCTACCTGAGTCCCTCAAAATATTGGTGATATTAGTGCGTTGTTTGATCAGTTGACGAGATAATGTTTCTGCAGCCAGGCCTCGCATTGGTTCTACCAGGTCCACGAAGGTGATTGTGTGTGCACGCAGCAGTTTGTGGATCTGAGGAAGATGGTTCTGCCCCAGGTACATCAGCTGGTGAGCCAGGTACATAGCGTTGTTGTGCAGGATAGCTAGAATCATCGTGAAAGTGATCATTATGGGGCCGAGATGTTAGTATTTATTAGTTTTCTTTATTTCATTCATATTTAAATTATTCCAAATAACTCAAAAGTTTAAATTATAATTCATTTCGATATTACAAATCATCATATGTTATTATATTATATCACATTGAATCTAAAAAGAATATTTCATTATTAAAATTGGCAACACTGTAAATGCAAGCACTTTAACTACTCAAAATTAAATCTTTAAATCTATTTTAGTCACAAAATTAATTCATGTTTCAATCAATTATCAAAATTTCATGACAATTACTATATTAATTTAACATTAAAATAAAACTGAATTAGGAAAGATAATAGAGAGTCTACAGTAATGACAGTAACTATCAGCAATTAACATATAATAATACTAGCAGAGTACCCGTCCTTCGTACGGGGTTGGAATATAAGTATAAAATGCTTATTGCAGTTATACTCAAGCTTTGCGTTTGAAATAAGGGAGGACACAGTTTGATAAAATTTGCTTTTTTAAATTTACAGTATTCTATAGTATTACACATCTACCATAGCCATAATGTTCTACCACTTCACCTAAACAATAGAGAAAAATAAATTATCAACAATTTGCAAAATATCACAAATTATTCAAGAAATGAAAAACATAAACATAACTGTAAACAATCCTACTTTGACAGTTCTCATTGCGAATCACAGTTTTTTGTTGTTGCTTAGTTCAAACATAGACTAACCAACACAAGTAGACTTCTCATCCCATTGTAAATTTTGAAGCTCGTTTTTCGTGTCTAGTTCATGTACGCCACAATGGGCGCTAGTGTCGACGAAATTTTGTTTCTATTATTTTAGGGTTAATTCCTTGATTTGTGCTTTACTGTTTGGTTAAATAACTAGGGGACAATTTATTGTTTATGATATGATCGTATTATTTGGTTAAACGAGGTTTTAAATGACTGTATTAACGGGAAACAAATTGTAAACAAAACACGACCTCTACATAAACCGTACAGAACTAACAATAAAATTGTCTTCAGCTGTTCCATTAGGATGAGAAATCTACTAAGGGAGTATGTTTTATCTATGGTTCAAATTAGCTGTTTTCATAAATGCAAAAAAAGTATAGTGCTGCACTCTGTTGGTAAGTCTTATGACTTTTTAATGCTTTTCCATATCATAGAACTAACTTTTTTAGTTGAAACAGCTGACTAAATTCTGTAATTCCCTTTAAATATGAATACTTATAAGGTTAACATGGGGAATTACGGAGCCACTGGGGCGGAGCCCGAAAGGATTTTTGAGATAAGAATATGCCTATATGTTAATCGGGAATGTGAGCTATCATCATGCCAAATTTCAGCCCAATCCGACCAGTAGTTTATGCGTGATTATTCAATTCAATTTATTTGGCCTGTGAGAGATATACAGTAGAAACTTGTTTACACGACCCTCAATGAGACGACAACCTAGATTACAAGTGCACTTTTCAAATCCCCGTGAAAAAGCCATAACACTCAATGTTAAACTAACATCTATAATACAACTATTTCTATTAACACGTTCGCTGCTGACCGCTAGATGCCGGGACGGCGCCAGGAGCTGAACTAACGCTTGCCGCTGCGTAACATTGCCGCCGATACACTGAACTACAGTAAAAACAAAAGTAGTTATACTGGATGGCAATGTTCTGCAATAAAACTGGCTTTGGACATAGTACTAAGTGTTTCTGATAGATAGCAGCACTACCCAGGTTGCAGTCGGTAAAGTAGTGTCGCTATCTAGCAGGAAAGAGGTGGGTCAAAGCCCTGTTCTAAACAACCCTGGTGGTGATTTTGGGAAACTATATTTTTTATTGTCAGAAAAGTACGTCCCCACAAGCTGCAAAGAAATATAGGACGCTCGTGACAAGCTGGCTGATCCATGGAAACGTTAAACAACAATGAACAGTGACGTTCCGGAACGTTCCTGGCGCTGTGGCCCGGCTGACGTTCCGTAACGTCCGTAGCAGTGAACGTGTTAAACAACCTCAATAAGACGCATTTTATCAAAATCATAAGGCAACTCAGAACCTCTATGACAAGTCTTTTGAGAAGTCAAAATTGATAACACGACTCTACATAGCTCTTTGAAACAGTTAAGGAGGAAATTTGTCAATTCAAACTAGGACAAGTGAAATCCCTACTCCACACGCACCTACCCCACTCCATTTTTCAGAACTTTATTTATCCTTTGACAGATCAGTAGCCTTGGATTAATAACATTATTCTGGTTTATGTGAAACATACAGTTGTCGCATTTAGTCTGGGCGTGCATTTCTGTTAGGTAAACAAAGATAACACTCAAGCAAGCTTTTCAAATTTCTAAATCCTTTACTTTGAAACTTTGTAAATTTTACTAAAAGGCCTTTTTATGTAAAACAAAGTAAAAGAAGAGTCGGTATAAAGTATGAAGTTTCTCAAATGAGACAAATCAAACGCTTTAGGTTCTTAACACTCATCCTTAAAGACTATTCTGTAGTAGTTAAAAGTCTGTAGTAGGCTAAAGGCTTGAATACTTGGGAATACAGGACGTGGTTGACAAACCAAATTGACAAACCAACAACGAGGCGTTGGCGTCAATGAGCTAAGGCATGTTACTTAAGGTTGTAGAAGCAAATTATCCTAGACTAACAAGAAGCACATGCACGGATAAACATTTATTTTCATCCAAGGATTTTAATTTTTTTTGTTTATTATAGGGTATTTGGCTACGAGAAATCGATTGGCGTTCGTCTCAAAGCTAGGAAAATTCCAGTTTCCCCCCTGCAGCCCTTGAATGTGCCCATATGTTATCGTCAACACTTTTTTGTAGCTGCATTTAATAAAAACAGGGGGGGGGATAAGGGATACTTTTTGAAAGTGTATATCATTCTATCAGCATGGGGTCAATGGAGGAGACTGATCTACTAACATCAGTATGATAGTCAGTGGGAGATATGCTCTAGTCAGGCACAAGGAGGCTACCCTACTAACATCACTATGATAGTCAGCGGGAGATAAGCTCTGGTCAGGCACAAGGAGGCTGATCTACTAACATCGGTATGATAGTCAGTGGGAGTTAAGCTCTGATACAAGGAGGCTGATCTACTAACATCAGTATGATAGTCAGTGGGAGATAAGCTCTAGTCAGGCACAAGGAGGCTGATCTACTAACATCAGTATGATAGTCAGTGGGAGATAAGCTCTAGTCAGGCACAAGGAGGCTGATCTACTAACATCGGTATGCTAGTCAGTGGGAGTTAAGCTCTAGTCAGGCACAAGGAGGCTGATCTACTAACATCAGTATGATAGTCAGTGGGAGATAAGCTCTAGTCAGGCACAAGGAGGCTGATCTACTAACATCGGTATGATAGTCAGTGGGAAATAAGCTCTAGTCAGGCACAAGGAGGCTGATCTACTAACATCGGTATGCTAGTCAGTGGGAGTTAAGCTCTAGTCAGGCACAAGGAGGCTGATCTACTAACATCAGTATGATAGTCAGTGGGAGATAAGCTCTAGTCAGGCACAAGGAGGCTGATCTACTAACATCGGTATGCTAGTCAGTGGGAGTTAAGCTCTAGTCAGGCACAAGGAGGCTGATCTACTAACATCAGTATGATAGTCAGTGGGAAATAAGCTCTAGTCAGGCACAAGGAGGCTGATCTACTAACATCAGTATGATAGTCAGTGGGAGATAAGCTCTAGTCAGGCACAAGGAGGCTGATCTACTAACATCGGTATGATAGTCAGTGGGAGATAAGCTCTAGTCAGGCACAAGGAGGCTGATCTACTAACATCGGTATGCTAGTCAGTGGGAGTTAAGCTCTAGTCAGGCACAAGGAGGCTGATCTACTAACATCAGTATGATAGTCAGTGGGAGATAAGCTCTAGTCAGGCACAAGGAGGCTGATCTACTAACATCGGTATGCTAGTCAGTGGGAGTTAAGCTCTAGTCAGGCACAAGGAGGCTGATCTACTTACTAACATCAGTATGATAGTCAGTGGGAGTTAAGCTCTAGTCAGGCACAAGGAGGCTGATCTACTAACATTAGTATGATAGTCAGTGGGAGATTAGCTCTAGTCAGGCACAAGGAGGCTGATCAGCTACTAACATATGTATGATAGCGTCAGTGGGAGATAAGCTCTAGTCAGGCACAAGGAGGCTGATCTACTAACATCGGTATGATAGCGTCAGTGGGAGATAAGCTCTAGTCAGGTACAAGGAGGCTGATCTACTTACATCGGTATGATAGCGTCAGTGGGAGATAAGCTCTAGTCAGGCACAAGGAGGCTGATCTACTTACTAACATCAGTATGATAGTCAGTGGGAGTTAAGCTCTAGTCAGGCACAAGGAGGCTACTCTACTAACTGTTGTAATATTAAGCAGATGTTATAATTAACATCTGATGGTTTATTTACTTGGAATTGTAAATATTTGGAAGGTTCTTGCTTTATAACTGTATCTGAATTAAATAATATACTTTGAATCAAAACTAATGAATTCTCATTAATCTATACACTGTACGGTATTAAAACATGGCGCAGTCGTCGAATGAACCTAATGTTTCCCTTAATGTACCTCATGAAGCTGCAATTTCCCTAAATGAGAAACCACCAGAACATTTTACATTCAACCCCAGTGAATGGCCAAGATGGAGAGGACGTTTTGGAAGATACCATTCACTGAGCGGCCTTAAAGAAGCCAGCGGCATAACACGGGTAGATATGCTTATTTACTGCATGGGAGAAAAGGGAGAACAAATACTCGATTCATTTAAACTAAATGAATCAGATATCAACAATTACAATGTTCTTTTGAATAAGTTTGAACAGTATTTCATTCCAAAAAAGAATATCATTTTTGAAAGAGCTAAATTTTTAAAGCGTAAACAAGGATCAACAGAGTCTATAGAAGACTTTGTAACTGCTCTTCATTCTCTAGCAAAAAGTTGTGAATGGGGACAGATTGAAGAGGA